CAACTTCTGGGCTAGTTTTCACGTAGGCCCAGTCAGAAGTTGCAAGAGCAATTCAAAGAGGATTTACAAAGTGTGTTACAAGCTTTTGGGAAAGTCTGAGAACTCGCTCAGAACATGCTAAAGCAAAGGGATTCAAGGATCAGAAGTTGGATATTAGTTCTAAGTTGCGCTGATGCTGAACTTCTGACCCAGACTTAGGCTATGATGCACAATCTCATAGTGCAGGATTTATGGTTTAATAAATCTCATCATCATTTAATGCTCACAACCACTTTTGAGTTTTTATCCAAAGGATTTCCCCACGCGTGAGATAGAAATACCATTGATGTACTTGAAAGACAAACTTTTGTACAAGGTTATGCTAGGCCCCTGCTTTGCTTTTGCCTCTGAGGGTACTTTTCCTTAATTCATGCTTACAAATCCAGCTTAGGCACGGCTAAAAGCTGCTAACCACCATACTTGCTTCAAGAACAAGGCAACGCCCTAGCATATGAAGGCCATATTCAACGCTTCGGTCAGAACATCACCAAACCCCAAAAACCTCGTTTATACAACCTGCTGCACTGCTACAATATAATCCTATAACCAACAACTAATTCAGCCCATGCCTGCATCCCATTATTGCATCAAACTTGCATACAAAAACTGTGATTAAAAATCAATGGAACAGTATACCAAAATGGTTTGAACCCCATTTGTTTTCCCCCCTCAAAACCATATCAAACCCATCTATAAATAATTTGCTCCATCACACGTTCAAGGGGCTGGCTTTTGGAGAGAGAGAGAGAGAGAGAGAGAGAGAGAGAGAGAGAGAGAGAGAGAGAGAGAGAGAGAGAGAGAGAGAGAGAGAATGATCAAAGAGAGAAAAGGAGACAGTAAAAACCTTTGCAAATCTTAAACAAAACGTTTGCTTTTCCCTTTGAATCAAAGAACATAACCACTGTTCCGTTGCTCTCGCTGACTCAAGAATATCTGAAGGCAGCAGCTCAAGTTCCAAGCACACGCTTCAGATTCTAGGTAAGTCTTTCTGACTTTGCATATTTTCATTTAGAACATCCTTAATATGTAAATATCATAGTATTTATGCTGGCCATATCATTGCATAAGTAGGAAAACTATGGATCAGAACTTCTTGATTAGGGCTAGGCTCATATTTAGGATTAAAACTTCTAGAAACTGTTGTGCTTTTATCCTTCTGATTTGTTGTTTGTTTAGAACTTAATAAATTGCTGATGTGCTGATTAATAGGAGGAAAGAGTTGAAATGTGGCACAAAACCTTTGATTTTCACTCACTGTTTTAGTACAACACACAACTTCTGAGTTCTCCTTGTTGTTAAACACACTAAACTTCTGATGTTTCCACTCACTGTTTTAACACTTAGAACTTCTGATTTTCACACGCTGATAACACACTGAACTTCTGATGTTCACTCACTGTCTTAGCACAATACAAAACTTCTGATTTCTCCCCACTGTTTTAACACATACAAAGCTTCTAATATTTTCTCACTGCTCCCACATTCAGAAGTTCAGCACGTAGCTACCCAGAACTTCTGTTTTTTCCTCTAACGTTTCCTGCAGGACCACAGAGTGTATCAACTCAGAACTTCTGATTTCCTCTGATGTTTCATGCTGAACCACAGCGCGCCCGGCATCAGAACTTCCGATCCCCTTTGTTTTACTTTCAGCAACATGCTAACTCTATTTCTCATTATTCCTCTTTTTATCATTTTCAATATTAATACCCTTTTTATTAACATTAAAAATACATAAAACTATTTTCTTTTTTTATTAATTCATTAAGACAAAAAACCATTTTTCTAAACAAGTCCTTTTTCTTTCTTGCATTATACATTTAAATATGGTTATAATAGTTAATTAGGATTTAAATTCTTGCAACCCCCATTCATAAATTTGTACCCCCATCCCATTATTGATGTAATAGTGTAGGACTTTACTTTTCCCGCACTTTTATTGCTTTCATATATTGTTAGTAATTAGGGTGTGTATGACAAGATAAAAACAACAAATAGATAACCCTAATCAACACAAAATGCATGTAAATCAAACACACTTGCACACTAGCACCCCTTAGGGTAATCTCACTTGTTGCCTATCGGAAAAATAGTCATGTCCCTCGAACGTGCGGGTTTTAGCAAAGACCCTCGATAAAAGATCGTAGTCCCTCGATGACCCTCGATGTTGCCTTCGGTAAACGATCTAGTCCCTAAATGACATTGCTAAAATGTCCATAGGTTGCCTTCTATGACTATACAAACGTCCTAACGCTCTTCCCTTCACATCCAACGATAGGGCTTCTTACCAAATCAATGGTAAGATAGCAACATCTAAAGGAGGAGGAAAAGAACATCTAAGACCTTTTGAGTAGGTAGATTTTCTCCTAGTTGTTCGCTTGCTCACAACAAAAACATTTTTATACACCCACACTCTCATTTTGAAACATTTTCGAAAGACAACACTTTGTACGCGTTCTTATAGAGACGAGAACCAATACAAAGACACCTTTTCAAAATCACTTTCAAAAACACATCTCACAAACACGTCTTTGAACTATTTTCCAAACAAACACTTTGTACGCGTTCTTATAGAGACGAGAACCATTACAAAGACGTTTTCAAAATACTTTCAAGACCCACACCACAAGCACCTTCAAACAAAAGCAAGTGATCTAGCAAGAAACTAAGAGCTCATGGAAAACTATGGATGAAAAGGGTGCTAATACCTTCCCTTTTCATAATCTACCCCCCGAACTCAAGAAAATATCTCAAAGGTCTTTCCTGTGCTTTTTCACCTTTCCTTTTGGATAAAAGAAAATTCGGTGGCGACTCTTGCTAACCGCAACATTTGCAATCAAACGCAAAACACACAAGTCAGTTCTCCCACCGTATCACACATATGCATGACGATTATGGTTATGACAATCACTTTTGTTCAAGAAAGTGGAAACTCAACAAAAGCAACTTGGTTGTGGCTAGAGGGGAAAATCTTTCTAAATTATATTGGACAAAAACTTTGGTTGCTAGGGACAATGTAAATGCTATCAACGTGGAAGCATCATTGTGGCACCGAAGACTTAGTCATATTAGTGAAAATGAGTTGAATGCTTTAGCCAAAAAGGATGTTCTTCTTGGTTTAAACAATGCATATTTGGAGAAGTGTTCTTATTGCATAGCTGGTAAACAGACTAGAGTATCTTTCAAGAGATGTCATCCCTCAAAGAAGTTAAAGTTGCTTCAGTTAGTACATTATGATGTTTATGGGTCATTAAAGTTAAAATGTTTTAGTGGTACGCTTTATTTTGTTAACTTTATTGATGATTGTTCCGGGAAACTATGAGTTTATGCCTTGAAGACAAAAGACCAAGTGTTGGAGAAGTTCAAAAAAATTCATGCTTCGATAGAAAGGCAGACAAGCGAGAAGCTAAAATGTGTTCGTTCTGATAATGGTGGTGAGTATTGTGGACCATTTGATTCCTATTGCAAGCAACACGATATTGCACATGAAACTCCTCCTCCTAAAACTCTTCAATTGAATGGTTTAGAAGAGAGGATGAATCGAACACTAATTGAGAGAGTAAGGTGTATGCTCTATGAAGCTAAGTTACCAAATCATTATTGGGGTGATGCACTTGACACAAGAATGTATGTTCTTAATCTTACTCCTACTATTGCTTTGAACAGTGAAGTTCCAGACAAGATTTGGTTTGGAAAGAATGTCAAGTATGATCATTTGAGAGTCTTTGGTTGTAAGGCTTTTGTGCATATTCTAAAGTGTCATACCCCAAATTTGTCTGCTTTATTTTCTACAATCAAATGACTTTTAAAAATTGAGTATCTGACTGCTTTGTTTTCTACAATCAAATGATTTTAAAAAATTGATTCTTTGGTTTATTTACACAAACATTTTGAATTTTATAAATATTCGTTTTTAATTTATTTTGTCTATTTAAAAAATATATAATAGTTTATTGTAAATTATTTGTATTTCTTGAATAGCAATACTTGCTCGCCTTTCATATATTTCAATTGTATTTTTATTTCAAATAAATAACATAGCACAATTGGTAAGAAAACAGAATTTGTAAGTACAAGATCACTGATTCATATCCCACATTTTATATTTTTTTCTTTTATTTTTGTTACTAATTTTCTCTCATTTTTCAAATATTAAAATTTAGGCTTTTTTTCGTGTGAATTATTTCCTTTTTAGAATTTTTAATTTAATTTTCCATTTATAAATAGGGTTCTCTTCCCCCTTATTTAGATCAACAATTTTTCTATCAAATACACACAATCTTTCAGAATTTCACCTAATGAATAATATAAGAGACCGACCTTTTATTTTCAATTTTATTGTGTTTCATTGTTTAAATCAGATGATGATAATTTTGATGACTATGTTTTTCTAAAAATTATTATCATGTTAACAAATTGTATAGAAGGCCAATTAACACATTCACAATTCCACACAATTTCCATACACATACAAACACACGGTTTCCACACTCTCCCCTTATTTTGATTCAAACCTCTAGTTTTCATTGTAAATAAAAGACCATTGTGCCATTCAACTTTTTGTACATTGTTACACATATTTTCTATCAGTTTTTTCTAGAGTCAACTTATTTTTGAGTCAAACCATATAGCCTTCTTTTCAAATTGATACAAATATCAAGAGCCTAAATTTCTAGATATTTTTTGCAGCCTTTGTTTCAATTTCACAGCAAACCGTACACAACAATAAGATCTAAACCAAAGTTCTAAGACCAAAGTTCACAATCGAATGACTAATATTCATCTCAGATGACATCAATTCAAATGCATCAACCAAACTCAGAACAGAGAAAGGGGATAAAAATCGAAACAAAGAACAATAACAGAGATTTTTTCCCACACGTGACGCCGCAAAGGTAATCCCAGATGAAACATACACGCGCAACCAACAAGACCGATGTCTACGCGCAAGACAACTTCTTCAAATGACGCGCCCAACCCCCATGGTTGATGCCCTTCGATCACGAATCTCTCACGCCCTCAGCCGTTGCGGTCATATCGACCGGCCTCCATACGCGGCGAACTCCGTACAAATCTACTGTCACCACCAGACGCCAGAGCAATCACCGGTAATCCTTTCGTCCTTTGAATCCCCTATTTTACTATTGGTTTTCATGACCTGCCTTTGCTGTATTTTGGTGAAAGAGAGATCCAGGTAGATAGAAGTAGAAGAGAGGAGAGGGAGTGTTTTTGTGTTACCAGTAACAAGCGAGAGAGATGAAAAGATTTGGGGTGGATTTGTTTTTTCACATCTTCATCTTAGTTTTAATCACTAAATTAGTGGATAACCCGACAAGTCTCGTATGATTTTCATATCACATTATCTAATATTGGTTTATAAAATTCTATTTTGTGTCAAAATTAAACTAATAAAAAACAATCAGAATACAATTAATATTGAACATAATATTAAATTATACAACAAAACTGACATAACTTGTAAAAATAATATCCAAATTTTTAAGCTTTATAAGTTCAAATGTAATCTTCGAATATTATAAATTTCATAGTTGAATTTGTTAATGAATGAACCAATTAACAACAACGACTCGCATGATACACCTGCATGGGAAAATATATCAAATAAGATATTAAATATTAGATATTTTTTAAAAACTAATGTAAATATGTGGAATATAAACACATAAATTAAACATTGAGATTTAATTTGTATCAGAAAGGATAAGGTGAAAAGGATTATCAACTAACAAAGTGCTTGAAAGACTTCTTTGTATACAACATTCGTAGTGGTCGAACACGGTGCATTCTGCTTATCATGTATTAAGATTTTAAGACCACTTTTGGTCGTAATCCTCGAAATTGTAACATACAATTGTCCATGACTAAAAACATGTGTAGGCAAATATAATCCGACATTATCAAGCGATTGACCTTGGGATTTATTAATTGTCATTGCATATGAGACAATGATTGGAAATTGTCTCCTAATCAACTTGAATGGCCACGGTGACTCAGAAGGTGGCATTGACATTCGAGGAATGTAAAACATGTTACCTATGTTTTTTCCGGACATAATTTTTGCCCCAATGACGTGATTTGCTAACCTTGTAACAATTAATCTTGTTCTATTGCACAATCAATCAGTTTGATCTAAATTTCTCATTAGCATGATGGTGGTACAAACCTACAATTTGATCATATGATTTGGAAGGCCCGATGTTCTTATTTTATTTAAGAATTCTAGGGTTAGAACTTCATAAGCTTCAGTATATGTTGTATCAGTTCTATCAATTGAATCAAAACTTAGATACTCTGTCTCTACTCCTAAAAAATGCCATGAAATGTAAATATTAATACATTAATAGAACCAACATGATAAAAATTTGTTGTTGGAAGTTATGTGCATATATATAGATTAAAGTTAAAATTATATTACCTGGTATCATGTCCAGTACATAGTGGTTGATTTTTTCCACAACTTCAATGGTTGATGCAAGAATAGCTTTTCCTTGTAGGTAACCAACATCCTGAAAATTATCACGAAAATTGGGATATGTGCTATCAACAATAGCTTTTATAGGATCCTCAAAATTGGATATCAACAATTCTCGAGGAATCTCTATCTCAACCAATCCATCATTTGGTTCACATATCTTACAATCCCCAACATTTAAGATCAATTTTAAAAACTCAGCTAATTCATTTGAACTTGTATTATCTCTTCCCTGCTGCAGCCTCATATTTTTTGTTAGTGTTAGAAATTGACAATAGTCCCATACATATGATGAGCATATTGATGCATGGACAATATCAGAACACCCCGCTCTTGGAACAACTGGAAGTATCTGTCTAAAATCTCCTCCAAAAACAACAACTTTGCCACCAAAGATTTTATTCGCAACATCTTGTTTGCTCATGACATCTTTGAGTGTTTTATCCAATGCCTCAAAACAGTTCTTATGAGACATAGGAGCTTCGTCCCATATTATAACATCGGTTACTTCAAATAAATGTGAATGTTCGTCGTTTTTGTCAACATTTCAAGTAGAGTTGTCAAGCGTTGGCACTGGTATTTTGAACTTTGAGTGAACAGTTCTTCCACCTGGCAATAATAAAGAAGCTATGCCACTTGAAGCAACGGTAAGAACAATTTTTTACTGTGAACGAAGTGCACTTGATAATGTTCTCCACATGAAAGTTTTACCCATCTCTCCATAACCATGTAGAAAAAACAACCCTCCTCTTTGTTTGTCTACAACTTCCATATTCGTATCAAATATTGAACGTTGTTCATCTGTGAAGTAAAATGGAAAAATTACTATGTGTATAACAAAAATAAACCAATTTTAATAATCCAGCTTGTGAATACAAATTAAAAGAATAACCTGTAAGTGTGTGATAGAGAGTTTGGTAATTTTGTCGTTCAGTTTGGGAATTGTAATTACGTTCGTCCCAAATCAGTCCATTTTCCATGTGGCGTGTGTCATATGAATCTGGATACGGCATATCTGGAGTGTTTTTGTGTTACCAGTAACAAGCGAGAGAGGTGAAAAGATTTGGAGTATATTTGTTTTTTCACGTCTTCATCTTGTTTTTTTATCACTAAACTAGTGGATAACCCGTGCTATCGCACGGGTCTCGTATGGTTTTTATATCACATGATCTAATATTGATTTGCAAAGTTCTATCTTGTGTCAAAATTAAACTAATAAAAAACAATCAGAATATAATCAATTTTGAACGTAATATTAAATTATACAACAAAACTGACATGACTTGTAAAAATAATACCCAAATTTTTAAGCTTTATAAGTTCAAATGTAATCTTCGTAATATTATAAATTTTATGGTTGAACTTGTCAATGAATGAACAAATCAACAACAACGACTCGCATCATACACCTCCATGGGAAAATATATCAAATAAGACATTAAATATTAGATATTTTTAAAAAACTAATGTAAATATGTGGAATATAAACACATAAATTAAACATTGGGATTTAATTTGTATCACAAAAGATAAGCTGAAAAGGATTACCAACTAATAAAGTGCTTGTAAGACTTCTTTGTATACAACATTCGTAATGGTCAAACACGGTGCATTCTACTTATCATGTATTAAGATTTTAAGACCACTTTTGGTTGTAACCCTCGAAATTACAAAATACAATTGCCCATGACTAAAAACAGGTGTAGGCAAATATAATCCGACGTTATCAAACGATTGACCTTGGGATTTATTAATTGTCATTGCATATGAGACAATGATTGAAAATTGTCTCCTAATCAACTTGAATGACCACAATGACTCGAAATGTGACATGGACATTCGAGGAATGTAAAAAATGTTACCTATGTTTTTTTCGGACATAATTTTTGCCTCAATGACATGATTTGCTAACCTTGTAAGAATTAATCTTGTTCCTATGCACAATCCATCAGTTTGATCCAAATTTCTCATTAGCATGATCGGGGTACCAACCTTCAATTTGATCCTATGATTTGGAAGACCCGATGTTCTTAGTTTACTTAGGAATTTTGGGGTTAGAATTTCATAAGCTTCAGTATATGTTGTATCAGTGCTATCAATTGAATCAAAACTTAGATACTTTTTCTCTTCTCCTAAAAAATGCCTGAAGTGTAAATATTAATACACTAATAAAACCAACATGATAAAAATTTGTTGTTGGAAGTTATGTGCATATATATAGATTAAAGTTAAAATTATATTACCTGGTATCATGTCTGAAGGGGTGAAAAACACAAGAAGGGGGGGTTGAATTGTAAAACTGGAAACTTAAATACAAATGACAAGGTATTTTTATCCTGGTTCGTTTGATCTCAAACTACTCCAGTCCACCCGTTCAAGGTGATTTCGCCTCTCTCCAACGAGGTCTTAATTCACTATATTCAACTGAATACAAATCTGTTTTAGCAACTGCTAAAACCTTCTTGATTCAAACCACAATCCGGTTTGTCAAGGCAATACTTTCTTACAAAGGAATAATCAAATGTGTGTGAATGTTTCTACAAAAACTATATCACAACTGTGATGTTTACACAAATGAAGCTTAGAATACTAAGTTGCTAAACGCTAATAGAGTATCAGAGTTTGGTGGTTTAGCAAAACTTGGAGAGTGAAGATTATTGATCAGCTTTGTACGTGTAGAGAGTTTGGAAGCATTAGCCGTTATAATCTTCAAAGCTTGGTTTATATAGCACTTTGAGAAGATGAACGTTGAAGCGAATATTCTTGATTCAATGCTATTTACAAGCTTTCCTTTCTGAGCAGATCTTGTCTAGAATGATGCCGTTGGTATTGATTAGCTTTCAATGCACAGTACCGTTGCTTCTTCAATGCACGATCTGGCTTGGCTCATTCTGATTCTGCTTCGCTGCTGATGAACTGATTTGATTCTGTATCAGAGTATTTTACGCGCAGTTCTGTTCATCAAGCTTCAGCATGTGCAAGCGTTGATCTTCTGATCTTGACGTTCTGATTCAGCAACTTCTGATGCTGGTGTACAAACTCATATTCTGATGCTGAGAACGTGATCTTGCTTATTTTAATCAGCATATCTGCAAGTCAGAGCATAGTAATTTTAAGTAGCATACAATTCAATCATGAAATATTTAACTACTATATCTTTTCACTTTGTTATCATCAAAACTTAAATATAGGGTACTAGATTCAAACATTGTTCTAACAATCTCCCCCTTTTTGATGATGACAAAAACTAGATATTTTAAATGAAAAATAACGTGAAAAGGTTATCAGATCTATGTATCAGAATAAGAAGTACGGAGAAGTCAGAGTTAAGAAATACTCCCCCTGAGTTTGTTACTTCCCTTTGATATGCGTGTTCTTCAGAGTCAGATCTTTTTCTGTCTTTGAGCATCAGATTGTAAGTCTTTGACTTATCAGAGAGCAGAGCTTCAGAGCTTTTCCTGTCAGAGCTTTGCTTCAGATCAGAGTGTTAGGTTGATCAGAGCTTCATATATCAGAACTTCATATTTGATCAGAGCAACATGAGCTTCTAGTCTTCATTGTGTTCAAGAGCTTCTTTGTGCCTGTAGACTTAAAGACAAAACAGAAAAACATTTCAAGTAATAGAGAGTTAGAATGTTTGAGAGTTTCTGTCTAGTTATCCGTTATTGATTTTAAATATCATTCTTGTTCTCCCCCTTTTTGTCAGCAATCAAAAAGTGCTGGTGATGTGCTAAAATGATTTAGATCAGAAAAACTAATAATATTAAAGATAGTTCAGAATCAGAGCAAAATAGCATTACAAACCATAGTCAAAACATAGTCAAAAGTACATCAGAAAATAAGAAAAATATAGAAAATGATATGTATGAAAAAAAATTTCAAGGTTGTGGGGGCATGCGTGAGAACAGACTTTCCAGCATTGCCTGAATCTTTTCAGAAGTTGCATTCTGCTTCTGAACCATGGTGACAACAGTATCAATCTTGCTGTCCTGGACATTCATTCTAGCTTCCATCTTCTGATTATTCTCATCCATCCGCTGCTGTAGACGCAAGTCATTCAGCCTTAATTCTTCCAGAGCCTGCCTGTCCAAGGCAGCTTGAGAACTTTCAGTAGGAGGAAGCTTCTCAGAACTTTCAGCTACATCTTCTGCTGGATGCTCTTCCTGAAGGTTGGTCCAACCAACCTATCAAAGTACCTCTCCCACCTTTGAGTTTTGACTTCAGCAGTTAGGTCAAATCCATTTTCCTTCAAACTTTCGAAATCCACTATTAACTCAGAGAGAACCTCAAGATTCTTGACCGGTGTGAGAAGGGTTCTGGTAGGCGCTTGATATTGCTCAGAGGTTTCCTTCTTCTGATTTCCTGCAGAAATGCTGGAGGATGCCATTGTTCTCACACAAAAAGCTTGAGAGTGATTTGAGAAAAGCTAGGGTTTTGAAGGAGATATGCAGAAAAATTCTTAAGAGATTATGAGTAAGCGTAAAGATTAAGAATGAAGAGTAATGTGCTTAAATAGGATTTTCAAAAATTATTTTGAAAAATAAAACGTTTTTAAGAGAGAGAAAAAAAATAATGATTGCAATTAACAAGCGTGATTACTTTTGCATTTAATGCTTGCTGATTTTGGGGGATTTGAGAAAGATACTTAAAAACGGTTACCAGACATGTGTCTCAATGCACCCAATCGGCGTTTTCCTTTCTCAGAAACGTGCACGCGTTCTGCTTCAGGGATTTGCTGATGATTGGATGACACTTGTTTGATATAGTGATCAGCACGTCTGTCCTTGAGATTAGACTCTCAGATCTTCAGACTTGCCTCTGATACAATCTGCATGTTCTATCTTTCTGAAACAAAGATTGATCAGAAGTTCACAGTAATATAATTACATTCTGAAAGATAAAAATATGGAATTAAAGCATTTTCATTCTGGGCATACTTTCATGCTGAGATGTTTCAGAATGAAATTAAACCTATCTTCTGAAAGGGGTTTTGTAAAGATATCAGCCCATTGATGGTCTGTATCTATAAATTTCAAGTTTAAAATTCCTTTCTGAATATAGTCCCTAATGAAATGATGTTTTATTTCTATATGTTTAGCTCTAGAATGTAAAATAGGATTCTTACTTAAGCAAATAGCAGAAGTATTATCACAAAGAATAGGAATGTTACTCTCAAAAATCTGGAAGTCTTCAAGCTGACTTTTCATCCAGAGCATCTGTGTGCTGCAACCAGCTGCTGCTATGTACTCAGCTTCTGCTGTTGACAGAGCAATAGTTGATTGCCTTTTGCTGGACCACGAGATCAGATTTTCTCCCAGAAACTGGCAGCTTCCAGAAGTACTTTTTCGTTCCACTCTGTCTCCAGCAAAATCAGCGTCGCAGTAGCCTACTAAACTGTAATCACTAGATTTTCTATAAAACAAACCCAGATTAGTAGTACCTTTCAGATACTTGAAAATTCGCTTAACAGCTGTT